ATGTTGTATAGGATTAATCACTGTTGTACTCTTTGATAAGAATCTTCCCATGACACTGCTGTCTCATAGACAAAACTGAAAGTTCACCTGATAAGTGAACACCTCGTGTATCGTACTATATGGAATCGTGGCCAAGATGTGTGTCGTTACTATCACGAACTCGCCAAATAAGAACGAATAGTGGGGCTGAAATGATTGGCAGTGACGAAACTTGTGATTAACCTCATACTGCATTTGGCTTATTTTCTTCCAGTGAAGCCTCTACATATGAGGCTAGAGGTGCATAGAAAGCTTGAGTAGCCTCAGTGGAATTCGAGCGGGGTTCGACCCTCAGAGCAGGTGCCGAACCTGGTATGTGGCGCCATGCACCTCTGCACCGCCCACGCCCGGGAAATGATTAAGTGAAATTTCAACGTCATACAACGAGTATGAGTCAGACTACTATGTAGGACACTCAATAAAGGACAACTAGCTCTTCTTGAAACATGTTAGCTTTCATCAAAGCCGCCTGCATGTTGCCCCTCCATGGTCTGAAAGACCCATGTGCTTAGGATCGTGACAAACTTTTCCCTGGCAGTGACAAATAAGTTCCGCACTGAGTTTGAAACATTCCACTTCTTTTGAAAGCGTCTATGTTCGTGTGGCCAGAAGTTTTGAGCTTCGTTAACCTTTGCCACTTCAAGCCATCTGACAGTCGGGTGCTATCTTATCCATTCATTCTATTCTTAGACGATTGTTTGCCCCACCTACAAGCCGGTGGTCATGGAAGTGGATAGGGCTTAAGGATTCTAGGTTCAGTTTTTGAAGCTGTTTTGTTATGATAACTGCTGTTTAACGCCGCAGTACGCGTTCCGAATGTTATCACAAGAATGCTGAGTTGTGGGCAAAAGTCGCCCCAGGCGGGAGTCGAACCCGCACCTCACGCTTTCCGGGCGAGTGCGCTATCCGTTACGCCACCAGGGCCGCTTTTACCCTCTCAGCTTAACGGCTTTTATGCCGTAGCCTATCAGCACTCACACGTTTAACTTGGGTTCAGTTTCCAGTTTCACCCAATGTGTCCAGTTAGGCGCTCCCACTTCAAGTGATCTTTAGGTATGGCTGATTTCGACGATACCAGCTGTCGTCATATGTTGATATCAACTGTTCACGGGGTATTATAATCGCTATCAAATGCCCTAGGATTTGGAATAGAAGATCAGTGCTCGGGCCAACTCCAAAGCTTTACTGATGTAAAAGAAATTGTAAGCATAGCCGTCGCCATCATGCGCTTTGTATCATCACTAGAATAAAGTTTTGCCGGGATTCGTGGTGTAAATATTTGTTTTTAAAAGGGCAGTCATAAACCACAATGACGACTTCAAGCGGAGCAGCACGTAGGGCTCAGTGAATGACGATATATGTACTGTACTGATTACTGCACAGTGTAGCCCGATGCGCACTTTCAGGTGGACACCCTGATATAGAGTATGTTCAGTCATGACAAGATAAGAGAATGAGACTGCATTTGTTTCTGTTTGCATTCACAGCGGGCTGATTGGTGTACACCCTACGTTTTGGACTCAAGAGAGTTATCATCCTACATGGGCGGTTGAACCAACTGGAATCGCTCGTTCTTTGAAATCTCTGAAAACATACTGGTAAGCCGCCTAAGGAAAATTCTGGAACTGATTGTTGTGCGGAAGTAAAAACATTTGGACCGACTTTACGGAGCCGAAGCGATTAGCCGACATGATAACACGTGAATGGCAGACAGTGCCTCATGTCAAGGGCACATGAGATTCCCCCGCGCCGATGTGTCCACGATGTTCTGGAGGTTTTCAGAGCCTGAGATGCTTTTTCCATATCCTTATCACCACGGGAGAATTCTTGAAAAGGCGACTGATATGGCCTGATTGAGGCCGGTTCAAGGAAGAAGTGCAACGAACCATTCGAGCTTTTTGGAATGTTTTTCAACGCATTTGTCTGTTATCACAAGAATGCTGAGTTGTGGGCAAAAGTCGTGCCCCAGGCGGGAGTCGAACCCGCACCTCACGCTTTCCGGGCGAGTGCGCTATCCGTTACGCCACCAGGGCCGCTTTTACCCTCTCAGCTTAAAGGCAGCGCCCGCGTTCATTTGATGTTCCTACGCCCTCCTTAGATATCGTAGCTTTGTCGACAAGGGTGGAGGATGTACTAATTTCGCAGCTCAAAAATACGAGAGGATGGCGCCACCCGCTTGTGAAGAGGATGCCGCCCCCACCTGGCTGCCATAACTGCTTTGGCTTAGCCTTTAAAGGCTGAGCCCGCTTCCAAGAATAATGAGTTATGGAGCTCATATAATACGTAATCCAGTAGTGAAGAAAAAAGCAGAAAAAATCATGGGAAATGCCCTATATAGAACCCTATGCTGGCCAGCTGGGCGGGCGGTCGGCTCTTCACTAGCGAACGGCGCTATCCTCTCGCCTTTTGAGATGCAAAACTAGTACATACTGCATCCTCATAGGGAGGGCTATGATATCCAGAGAGGGCGCGGGAACATCAAATGAACGTGGGCGCTACCTTTACGGCTTTTATGCCGAAGCGTGTGGTGCGGGTTCGACTCCCGCCTGGGGCACGACTTTTGCCCACAACTCAGCATTCTTGTGAACATTCGGAACGCGTACTGCGGCGTTAAACAGCAGTTATCATAACAAAACAGCTTCAAAAAGCATTTGTCTGTATTTTTCGATTCATGTTGGTCAGGAAATCGGCTATTTCCCGGACGATTCACCAAATAATGTTCTGCTCGCATTCAAGCAGTTAGCTCGTCTAACTTGCAAGCGCTAGCCTAAAATTGACAAATAGTACAGTACGAAAGACGCTCCCTTGGCTATTCTACATTCAAGATCGAGTCTGCTTACCTTCTCAAATGATTTTCGAATTTTGCGTTCAAAAATCAGGAGCTGATTGGATATTTGCTGGCCCGGAGGTGATCGTGATCTTAAAAGACACATGGTACGCTCAAACACTTGAGGGTGTATGAGACTATCAGCCCCCAGCTGTCGATGTGTCGTGGTCCCCCCGCCCAAACATGCCCAGGAATGGAGATACAGGACCGTGAAACACGCTAATTCCTCCATGCTCCGCCTTACACCTTTTTGCGGCAGATTCCCGTCCTTCATAACATCCGTCGTAAGCGCGCGTGTCGCGTGCGGCTCCTTGGCACTTTGCCAAGTCCTTTAATTGCGCTCTCAAATACAAGTAAAACGCAATTTCCTGATGCGGATAACATTGGAGGTGCTACAAAATAAGAACAGAAGATGATGACGAGGGCCAGAACTCAAGAGCAACTCGGCTGCATCTGCAGTATCCATCAGAGGCCGCATTCCCACAAAACATGAGAATAAAAACAGCCCAAGCGTCCCACTCGTTTGTTCTAAGTATTTCTATGGCTTTGGCGCCGGATTCGCGCCGGATCGTAGAAATTTATCTAATTTGCCTTTCCTTGATTTTTTCATTTTTGTTTTGTTTACATTTACATCGTTGTGCTTCATTTCTAGCCTGTGTCATCTTCATCTCCTTGTACATGGATTTTGAAGCATGAGCAACACCTAAATTTTATTCGCATCAGGAAATTGCGTTTTGCTTGTATCAAACTAACGAGTATGCCGTTTTTATTTTCATGTTTCGTGGACATACGCGGCCTCCGAGGGATGTTGCAGAAGTGGCACAGTTGCTTTTAAGTTCTGACCCTCGTCATCATCTTCTGTTCTTATTTTGCAGCACCTCCAATGTTATCCGCATCAGGAAATTGCGTTTTTTGTATTTGAGAGCGCAATTAAAGGACTTGGCAAAGTGCCAAGGAGCCGCACGCGACACGCGCGCTTACGACGGATGTTATGAAGGACGGGAATCTGCGCCGCAAAAAGGTGTAAGGCGGAGCATGGAGGAATTAGCGTGTTTCACGGTCCTGTATCTCCATTCCTGGGCATGTTTGGGCGGGGGGACCACGACACATCGACAGCTGGGGGCTGATAGTCTCATACACCCTCAATGTGTGAGCGTACCATGTGTCTTTAATGGACTCCCACCATCCTTACTGTTTCGCTTGTCGAATCTGATATGGATGCCACGTCTACCGTCGCCAGCTCGTATGGAAACTGGTGTTTAACCGTTATAGATGCCCTTCATATTGACTCAACCGAAGCAACAGATTAGCATTACAATGGTATACATATTAAAAAAATATTCCGCGATCAGTGGATAGGGGTATCGCGTATCCCTCATTGGCACATCATTTCTTTTTGCCGCACTAGAGGGACTGATGTTTGACCTTGGAGGAAACTGCTGGCCCAAAGGTGCTGGTGCCTGTAAGAAGGCTAATGTATTGCCCTTGGAGATAATCGTGTACGAAGGTAACATGCACACTGTTAAAAGCGCATACGAACGACCAAATTCCGCGATCATTGAAGGGCGGGTATCGCCACTATTGTGTTCCCATGTTCCCCTCGTTAGCGCATCACTCCCTTTTCCCGTAATTTTGCCGTAATATAAGGAGGAACCTACCAAGAGAAGGCTCAGTGGTTGTGAATCTCCTCCGACTTCTTAACCCATCCGCTTGTGGCGGAATAAAACGTCAGCTGCTCATCTTTGATCTTTGCCTTTTGCATCCTTCATGCTTGATCCGGGGGCGAAACGTCAATTTCCATGTAAGTTGGCAAAGATTAGGCATGGCGGCCATTCATCAAAAAAGAAGCGGAAGACAGTCTCGTGTCTTCAGACTTCTCTGATAAGGCCACATACAAAAGCTATCGCAGAAACCCACACACACTAGCCCGACAATTTTCTCCGCTGATTGTAAAAGAGACTTTATTCGAGAGTGACACTGATCACTGATAACACTGTCCATTCATTTTTCTCGCACTTTCACTGAATATCATCACCGGTCGCTAACTTTCCATTTCACTAATATTTTTCAGGAGTCACGTTTTCTTCAGCTACAATTGGCATCCTCGAACGCTGAACTGATTTTCGGTAAAGTGATGACTTTTCTTAATACTGGCGATTTTGACATGACCGGATGTACTTCAGAACAGGTAGGAATCGCGATTCGATAGTGTTTTCATATGGGCTGAATTTCGATTTTCAGATGCTGGCAGTGGCCAATGAATGCCAGATTCTATCACTCCAGGAGCGGAGTCGAGAAGGTTTTCCGACTTCGCTACCCAAACCAGGTAGGCTTCACCAGATGTTGCTCCATGTCCTCCAGTGAATGAGCCACTTTCAGTGTCCCGTTACCCAACTGCTGCCGCTGCTCCCGCTTTACCATGTCCCGTTCCCATCTTTTCGCCAGTCCCTAACCCATTCCTTCTGATGGACTTACATTCTCAACTGCATGCTGCCAACCTATTGCAGGTGAGTCATGGTGTACTTGAAGGGTGCCATTTCCGGTTACCGTAGTTTCTCGTTCAGATGATGATGACGCAGTTGCATACCGTCAACCCACCTCAAGAAGTAGTGGACGAGAAGTCTTTCAAGAAACGTAAAGCCCATAGCGATCTCAGGGAAATGAAAAAGGTCCACTCACTTGATAGCGAAGAGCCCTACGATAATCTTGGTGACGTCATCATTCCCAGCACGGATAAAGAAGGTGAGTCCTACAGATTCCTCACGTTCTCCGACGATATTTATATAGTGCAGGGGTTTTTTAGGATGGTGTCGTAACAAGAAGTATATCGAGAAAACTGATGGCGGTTTCATGTGCATGGTGTGCAAAAAGGTCTACGGTCGATACAATTCGGTCTCTTATCACGTGACGATTTATCATCGAAACCCTCCGATCAAGTGAGTTTGTGGGCTTGCACTGACCACGGGATCATGTGATATCGTTTCCGTCCTTTTTCACATGAACAGCAAGTTCCTCAAATCGGTAGTCGTTGAGTACCGTAATTAGGGCGGGCCTTAAGAGGACTAGCCATGAAGATAGCGCTAGGCCCTGGATTTTTGAACAGAAGGTGTTCATAGTTCACCATTTAGGACGAAACCTTGCGATGTTTGGGGCAAACTCTCGGTTTGGCTGAAAAATCTTCTTCCGTTCAACTTCCGGAATGCAAATATAGCCCTTGATATTCCGCACCAAATATTTGATGCGGAACACCTTCGGCGCATTGGGCGCCGCCGCTTCCCCCACCCAACTTTTCCTTCTGTGATTCTCGAGTTTCGCTCTTCACCTAACCTTGGCATATAGTTGGAGTTGGCACTGACTCCTGTGGCCTAGCCGACATTGTCGAGCTAAATGTAGTCCACTGTACGCATCCTGCGCCTTCCCCGTTGAACGATTCGTTACGTTACGTTCGCCGTTGAAGACAAACTATACACTCACCTCCGTGGATCATAGTCCTAGCCATGACTGGGGAGAATATGTGACAGCTGCAGTAACATAATTCTGCCGCTCAAGAGTGCGCGAGAACAGGGCTGGATGGTGGCGAGCTCGGTGCCGGTTCCGCATCCCGTACGCGCTACCGCACGACCAGCCAGCTGCCTAGCCATAGTCAATCGAACTACTTGTATGTACCCTCTTACTTCTGATTGTTTTCCAACGACGTGTTTGGTCGCAGGACCTTGGCATCGACGGAAATGCAGCGCTTCGGGCGGAGTATGGAGACGGCAGTCGGTTACCACTACCCTATAGTCCCGTTCCTTTGAAGTTTTGAACGTAGAAAAGGCACGCTACTACAGCTGCGGACCCGATCGCCTCGAACATTGCAAGTGATTTTACAGTTGTCTTGAAAGATGCCCTGAGGAATCCTTCAAAACAAACTGATACTTTGAGGATGTGCTACGATAAGACACAAGATTTCAGCGGTTTTAGTGGCTTCCGGTTTATAAGACAACTTTTTTCGAGAAAGTGTCACGTCAGACCAGCTACCTGGGAAAACTTCGACAGAAATCTGGCCAATGCACCATAATTCCTAAATTGGGGCCGTAGAATGTTACGTGATGTTTAAGTCCTTGAATAGAATGTTGGTCCCCCAGCACCTCCAAGTCCAAGTTCAAGATTGCTCCTCTAAGTGAAGACAGCTTTCGAAGTTGTCTTCAGTTGGAGGAACGGTTGATTCTACTGCAACAGAGGGGGGGGGCGGGGGAGGAACAGACAAAAAGGCCTTGTGCTGATAGCTAACAATACGGGACGGCGTTCATAATTAAGGTACAAGATTTCCTCCCGATTTCCTCCCGTATAACGATCCCTAAAGCAGCGTTCATATCACAATGTTAACTTGATCTTTGAGGTGTGATCTTCCTGGTTGTCAATTCACGACAAGAGAAGCGCGCTACATCCATTTTCACAAGTACTATCGTCACGGAATTGCACTACCGGACAGTATCGACCAAGGTATGGTGTCCTATATGTTCTCCCTGCTCAAACTCTCGCTTCATTCCCTCCTTGTTTCAGGATCACGAAGATGTCCGCATTGTCGACATGTTTCGAAAAGCCCCGCGATGTTGGAGAAACACATAAGAAGACATCAAATTGTGGAACCGAGGTTAGTATGGGGGCGTTGACGAGTTAGGGACTGTTTCCCATTGAAAAAACTGCTTATCACCCCTTACTATCGCCTGGATTTTCTCGAAAATCGCCCTCTCAATTCTCGTAAGACACGCTGGTTACGGCTACGCATGTAAGCATTCCCAACACTGTCCCAGCGTCATTCCTCAGCTTTCGTAGTGATTTCCTGTTCACGATGACTTTCCAGTAGTTATCAGCTGCGTGACGTTAAGTGTCGAAGATTCCCGTGGTTTTTTCCCTGATACGACTTTATCAACCTTGTTTTTCTTGAATGGTCTCGTGACCAAGGCGCTTTTCTTTCGACGTGACAACGAAAACGGTGTTTATGGCTTGCAAAAGGGGAGCGTCAACCCATGTCACACTGCTGATCCGTCCTACCATAATTGTAAAAAATCGTTCTTGCAGACTGTACTGAATTTTGCACGTGTTCTTTTCCCTTGGACAAATTGACTGTTAGTACATTAAGGAGAAAATCGCTACCCAACTCATTTTAAAGGCCTTTGGCAAGATAAATCTCCTACGTGTAGGAATAATAGGCCTAACAGGGCTGAATTCGGCGCCCCTGAACAAGCGCTGCGCGGCGCCTTTTCAAGGAAGGTGCCCATATAGGGCCCTATCAACTGTGAAATACCTATCCGGACGTCCAACGCGCCCGCGCGCCCACAAAGCTCCGATGGTGGTGGTCGTATCACTTCATTTGCGAAGTACAATATGAGGCGAAGAGATTTATACGAAGTGGCGCTGCATGGATATATGTGCACATACATGCACCCGTGCTACCGCAACGATTATTGGCACGATGCCAAGGGAAAACTCGTCCAAAATAGCTTTCTGAGTTGTGTGGAAACAAAAGATTTTTTGCACTTTTTGACCGTTTCACTACGCTTTTTCGTCATTTTCCCCCCACTGTTTAGCACGCTGCTACTCTCAACAACAGCAGCTGAACTCGGAGGTGTAGGGGGACTTGTGCCGAACTTTGGAAGGGTTTTATTAAGAAAATTTTTTCCAGCGGCAGGCTGTCCTGTCTTGTGATCAGATGAGAAAAAGAACTGCGTCCACCACGCGGGTGTAGATAGATGGTTCACATCACACAGGAAAACTCCGAATCTCTGCTGTATGCAGAAAAATCCCAAATCCTTTCCCATCAGCTGGTGAATCGCTCTTCCTAGATACATCACCCTTTCCCCATGGATTCTCTGAGTGTAATATGCCTTGGGTGATATGGTTCGTTTGATGGGAACATGCAGCCTTTCTTCTGAACCAAATCCGCTTACCTAATACAGTGATCGCAGTAATGCTGAAACCGATGCCAGGTCAGGCGTTTCAGATGTTTACCTGCAAAATATTGTTTACTTAATGATAACCACATGTCTTGAAATATCTTTGGTGTGAGTCACTGAATGGTCCGAAGTGCTGTTGTTTTAGGGACGAAAGCGCTGAGATCGATTCCACATCAATGGAAGTGGTCGTTGTCGATGATGAAATAACCGAGGTTGGTTGAGTCATTTGAACCCAAGAAGAGACCATTATTAAGCCTACTAATATCACAGGAAACTCATAGAAAGGAAGGTTGCTTAGGCTCGGGTCGATCGCACGCGTTCCTGCTAGGCATGGCAACTAACTATGGCCTCCTAAGCAGTCAAGCCAACACCTTGTGGCACGTAATGCTGAAGACTTCGTATGACGTACTTGTACTGAGTGCGAATGCCGCGCGTGTGATACCACCACCAGCGACCCCTCGTCGCAAAGTGGATCTCTCAACGGGAACCCCCTTCAAACTTCAGGTGCTTGCTAGGGTATGAAGTGAAGAGCCCGCATTCTTATTATTTATGCCTCAATATGGCGTCATTAAGTGTAATAGTTAGGTTAGATTAATAGGGATAACCTCAAGATGCCTCTGAAACTGAGCCGTTACACTTTCGGGATAATGTCTAACGTTCTAGTACGGCCTTTAATTGCAGAACATTGTTGTGCGCCATCAGGTTTTAGAGAGGAATTGTTCCACTTGTTTGATGTCCCAGAGACACAGTCCACGCTGATCGTATGGGCGGAGGCAGTCAGCGACTTGCTCTCACAATTAATGCACCCTCCTTTTGACATGATGAAGGAAGGCCAATGAGGGAGGCAGACTGGTTTCTTCCCTCGGTCATGTCTCCATTCTTCGGCTGCTTATGACTATTAGTGAACCTATTACTGAATTGGCATTTTTTAATTTTGAAATTTAGGCGTTACTACCGATCCGCTAAATCGTGTTCTACCTTCGCACTCCTTTCGATTACCGAGGGGCAGCCTCTATAGAAGGGTTCAGGCCCTAGGCTCCGTTTAAAAAAGGGAAATTATACCGTTAAAGCGATATTAGCTGATCAGTTGAGAGCTTCGCTCATATGCTTTGAAAAATCTGAAAGATATTTCGTGGTTACTCATTTATGACCAGAGGGTTCGGCCTGGGACTGGTTCCAAACTCGCTCTATGCTTACCTAGCTCTTTGCCCTTACGCTATTTCGATTTCACCTAGGCACCAGGCAAGCGAAATCTACTGTAGCTAAAGAATGTAGATTTTGTTCGCTGCGCACCTGAGGTTCTTCCAAAGGGTGAGACGACGTGGTGTCTGTTCTGCACCAATCGCGGTGGCTAGCTCAGCCTTCCACAAGTTGTGGCGACGCGCAAGGCTGCGCCACCCCCAAAATCCCAGCACTATGGGAGTCTCATCATCTCAACAAGACTGCATGTGAACTGAGCTAACGGATAACCAACTGAACACAGCAAATAAACAGCAAGAGCAACTTTTAAGATATTTAGCCGTCCGGGGAAGGCGGCTCAGGCGATGCAATGGTCAGCACTCTAGCCGCGTAAGCTCAGGCTCGAGCCTTCGCTGGGGCAGGTTTTTGTGCATCAGTTACAACTCTTCTACTAATAATAGTAATGAGTGCAGTAAAAATCAGCTGCTGACGCAAAACCTTGATTTTTTCCAGGAAGAGCGTAGTCGAGGTCAGTCACTGTCGATGGAAGTGTGCGAAACACCAGTTGAAGAGGCGATGACAAAACCCCGAGCGTTCACCTTATAGGAGGACATCAACTCGAACTCAACCCATCCATTGTAGTTCAAAACGTCTCGTAGCCAATGCATAATTACAATATTGTGCATTTTGTTTATCGCCGAAGCTTTATGAGGTTCTTTCCACAGTGGAGCAAACTGTTCTTCTGTCTCATAGACCATTATGTAATCGATTCGGTGATTACTACATATTCTATAGCATTCTACAGAGTATCTCGCTTATGTCTTTCCTGCCTTCACACCATTTACAGATGCTTATAAATAAATATAGTTAAGACTTTGATCATGAGTGTTTTTCGTAAAAGTCGTTATCTCTGCCAACGATAGGCGTCTGACGGCGGGCGTGGCTCGGAGCGGAGCCAGATCAGACCCCTAGCAGTTGAGGCAGGCACAGGATACCATCACTGGTTGAAAAAGGGCGTACTGGCTGCGCTCCAATACATGCCGCGTCACACGCCTTATCGTTTGCTGGGATCATGACTGTACACCTGTTCAGTTGCCTGTTTCTGGAATCCCCTATATATAAACCAGAAGTTGCCTGTGTGTCTGTCTGTATCTGTCCGGAAACCGGCTCTTTAGGTATGTCTGTTCGGCATACCTAAAGAGCCGGTTTGAGGGCTCGGGTCAAGGGTGCGGTGGGCAGCGGGGCTTGGGCCAGGTAGTACGGAACACACAGAATAAGTACGCCCGCCCACTGTGTGCGGGGGGCGCTGGCACATCGTGCTCTTTTTCGAGAAGATGGCGGCAGTGCTGAATCTAATTAAGGCAGTTGCACAATGTCCCCAACAGGAAAGGTCGTTCAGGGTGTGCCCTGCTTCTTTGAAACGGTTTATTGCACTTTGTAGGGCCTTGCCCATGAATCGTAAAAGTGGGCTTTTTTTGGCTGAGCGGCCCCCGGGAACGCTAAAAGAGCTGAAGCGAAAAGGTACGTCTATGTACCCCCATATGAGGGACGTTAAGCGCTATACTGGCGCCAAATTGCGTCGACGTCGAAAATAAGTGTCAAAATCGTAATCAGGACCATCGATTACCCTTATGGACGAACTTCTAGCCAAAAAAAGTTTTTTCGATTTTTTGGGTTTTGGTGGACCATTTGGTCGGCAGTGGTGACCGGAGTATCCCATCTTCGTAAAGACGATGATGGACGGCGAGTAGCGGTCGCGAGCAAATGAGACAGCAAGTGGAATGCCTCCCTTTCCTTCTCTTGGCATGAATTTCATTCGGCATTGGTTTTTTTATGTTTCGGAATAAATACAGGGGATCCTTATGGCGAGGCACTGTCAGACTTTCTATGAGGATTGTAGGTTACACCACGCTACACGCCAAAAGTCGGAAAAAATTTTTTTTCAGCAGAAAGATTGTTTAAAGGGGTTATCGATGGCCCCGATCATGATTTTCACACTTATTTTCGGCGTCGACGTAATTTGGCGCCTGGGTAGCGCTACACATCCCTTACTTGTGTGTAGCAAACGCATTCATAGGGAAACATGTCACTCCATATTAGCGATAAATGCATCTTTGCTACAATAGTTCAATATTCGTGGAATTTTGGGCCATGGTCTGACCTATAAAGGTCAACTTTCAATTACGGTCTTGCTTAATGGTATGTATAACCTGTAATAATTTGAATAGCACTGATTAATGGAGTGTTCTCTTTAAATTATGCCCATAAATTCGACAATTATCGAAGATTACTTACGCACAGACATATTTGAACGCGAAAACAGCAAAACATAAAAAATGCAAAAACTCGCACGCCGAGGGGAGTTGAACCATCAACCCCACCCCAACTGCTTCCGCTTGAGAATCTCCGATCGTTGAAGAAACCATTCCATGAAGCCGTTCACGCTTGATTACGTGCCACAAGTAAGACCCCATACCCCGACTACTTTTCTCTTCGATTCCGATAGTACCTTTATAGGGTCCCTCCATTCAGCAAACTGGTCAAAGTTTCAAGCGGTTTACAGCTCGTAGAGGCTCAAAAACAATCAGTTTCCATAGGTTTCTTTTTCGCTCCTTTTTTGGCATTCCTGGGGCCGCTCAGCCAAAACGAAGCCCACTTTTATGGTTCATGGGCAAGGCCCTACAAAGTGCAATAAACCGTTTCGAAAAAGGGGACACGGCACACCTTGAACGACCTGCCCTGTG